TTAACTGAATAACATATTTAATTTCATCATTAATAAGTGTCTGGTAATTCCTCAACAAGAATCACACATTTCTACTAACTACATCTACTACAGCAATACCTCCTAAGAGGTATTGACCACAGTCCACCGCTCCCAGCTGATGGTAAGAAACCCTTATTTTTGTGTCGACGATCGAGAAGATTTTGAAGTCGCATATAACATTATCTATTTTAACCTTTTTTAAATTAGCTATCTAATATTGAAACACATACATTTCAGGGTAAAAAATTTGGCCAAGTGTAAGTCGTACTTACACAACAGTGTTCCGTACCGTAGTTGTTAGTAAGTGCATTTGATAATTATTATTGTTAGATTTGGGCCTGCCAGTCCTGCACTTAAACCAAATATCAGTATAATACTAGAGCTTTATTTTTTTTAAAGAAACTATCTAACGTAATCTGATAATATTTGTTCAATCTACTCCATATTCTCAACGTTTGTGATTTTTTCAGAATTTTCTGAGCGTTACTTTTAGAGATAAGTTGGTGGGAGAGTATTTTTCAAGCGTTTTTTAAGAATGTTAAAGAAAAAACGTAAACGATTGTATTACATAGGTATTCATTTTTAAAATCGTGCTTCAACGATATTTCATTATTTGATACTCCATACGACGCTACGGTATCATAATTTTTTTCCTTAACCGGCTTAACCTCTAAAACTGACATCCTAGATAAAAAAATCTGCTTTCTTAGAAAACTCCTGTGTTTGATCCACTACTTACTACAACTGTTTCAAATTTCAATTGTGTACGTCAAATAGTATCCGAGTGAAGGTACGGTTTGTTAGAACAGTGCGCGACGCTCGATGTACGCGTACGTCAGAATGTGTCGCGTTCGAATCACTTCAGTTTTAGTAGAAGTGATTTTTTAGAATATAAATCAATTCAACTTGTTCTGTTGATACGTGCAGATGAAAATGAGTTTCCATGAATTAAATAACGCGGTAGTACCCATTATTTTAATGGAAGAAGAAGACGAAGAAGAATTGTTAGTTTTTTAATAGTAATGAGCAAAATCAAGCATTATTTTTAACTATATTGTCTTTGTAATTTTCTGCTTTTCAGTTGACAAAGTGCAGGATGCTCCTTTACCATATTAATTAATATTTTATCCTTTTCAGAAGAACATTTATTACTTTAATTATAACACAAATTATCCTAACCTTATTTCACTTGACAGTCTACTGTATACTCAGCTGAACGAATTCGTCTAAATCAAACTCAAATTGATTTCGATGTAATTAGTCGACGTACACTGCTCTTTGCCTAACTGTGCTGACTCTAAAAAAATATTCCCCCAATAGTATTGTTAGATTTCTGCGCGTCGCTCAGCAGACTGAGTTCTAACAAACCGTAGCTTTAAACGCCTGTAACATGCTTCAATAAAATGTTGCGGACATTGTGTTAAAATTTTAATATTTTTCGTGTTTTTGGCAATAATTTCTCAACATATTTATAATTCTTTGGAAGTCCCCAACTAAATAACAAAATTACTGCTACGAAATAATGAAAATTATTTTTAAACCCCGAAGTGAAAACAAATTTAATAAAAAAATTGAATAAAATGAAAAACTGAATAAAATGAAAAACTGATAAAATGAAAAACTTAATAAACACAGACGACTTATGTAGAGTTAGATTCGGAATCTTATATTCAAATTAACAATTTAGATATCGGAGATTTATGTCCCAATGGTCGAATGATTAAAGACAGTGCGCATAGAATATGAATAGGTGAGTGTGGGTTCGAATCCCCCGCGGACAGAAATTTCATAAATTTTCATTAACATTGTTATCACTTTGGGGTTTCAAAAATAATTTTTATTATTTCGTAGGGGTAATTTTGTGATTTATTTGGGAATTTCCAAAGAATTGAATACCTTTGTTTTCGGATCTATAACCGATAAGTTTCCGGAACTTTAAAACCAATTGTTCACTATATTTATAAATCGTTATCAAAATTTTAGTCAAGACATGTTACTTATAATTTTACAGGGGATACCACATAAGAGATTCATTTTAATCAAATTGGGTCATACCTTTCCTAGACGAAACTTTTTAGTAATTAGAAAACATGATATAAACATCATTTATTATGTAAAATTCTTTATTTAATAATTATAGCCAACCTGGATATTTCTTTTAAAAAAATTATTTAATACATATACAATTTCGAGTCTTGATTATCAATTAACTAAAATTATCTAAACTAAACCGGATAACAATTCAAAGCAACAATTCAAAGCGATAAACTATTCAAAACTAAAAATGAGCCACTTCTGAAAATATGGACATTTTTAGATATTTTAACCCTTTGTACATTGTACATGTACATAGCTTTTATTTATTTTTTTTAATCTGAAAATTCCATGCCCCTGGTAATAAAACCAGAAAGTCCTTCATCCTATTTTAAAGTACTTTTAATATTATTGGCGCCCTTTACTAGTTAGTGGCGTAAGTTGAAATTTTCATAGAAATTGTGTATTTCTGTGGCTGCATAACAACAAATATTAAAAATAAACGCGCACGCACATGCACACACGCACCCACGCACGAGGCACATAAAATAAAAATCCGTCAAAAATTCGAATCCAAAACAATTATGATTCATATACGTTCCCTCTGTAACAGGAAAGTAAAAATTAAAAATACAAAATAGCGGATTTAATATTGAAATGGTTTTAGGAAGAGTAGATTCCCATCAAATAAATATTCAAGCTAGGATCTCCTTGTTGTTGTTTGTTAATAGGAAGTTCTAGTATTTTAAAGTCATTACTTTCCTGTAATTCAAGTTTAAAGTTCTCTCCTCCAGAATGGCCAAAGCTTAGTCTATTGTTATTATTTTCGAGCAATAACTTATGCCAAAAAAGTATTTCAAGTAGTAGTGGTTTGTTGTACTTCTTCAACATTTGAGGAAAAAAAAAGATCAAAGAAACAGTAATCTTTCGTGATTGTAAGGTACAATTTTAATTTTTACACACTTTCGAACACAAAATGCGATAGAAAAAATACTTTGCGTGCAATAAATGGTTATAAATTTTTTCCCAGATCTTACCAATGATTATAAAAACTTTTCCAGTCGTTAAACATTACGAACATTGGCTTTGATTTTTACCATTTTTGGCAAACAAATCCCAGTGCATTGTAGCGTATACTGAGCGTTTAAAGTCTCGCAAATACCCCAAGTCCATTCGCTTTCTTTATTGTTTAAATGTAAAATGGATGAAACAAAAAGTTACTAGATTGTGGCATGTCGTAGATTAATTTCATCATGTTATGCCAGGTCGCAGTTATCAAAATAATTTTGAACTTGTCAATTTGTTAAAAATTTGTATATTTTGATATTTCAAAAGTTTTTCATAAGAATTCAACAAAATGGTGAAACGATTTAGTGATCACTTAAAAACTTTATTACTAAAAGAGGCTCTTGGGAAGAGATACAATCAAATGGCTGCAGAGGCATTAAATATTTCGCAGAAAACTATAGACTTAGTAAACCAACAAATTCTAATACAGAGTATGTGAAAATAATGTCTAAATAAAAGTAAGCCAAAGTAAAACAAAAGTCAATTCTTTAATATTAAGTAAGCTGAAGCAAGTTATATATAATATGTACGAAGGTGCGCAACATGTAATAATGAAGTTACATAAACGATTTTGGAAAGAAATGCCTGATGTGAAATGCCTGATGTTAGTAGGTTTATTTAAATATCTGCAACAACTTCAGAACATAAAACAATAAAAATTTCTGAAGGCAGTCATTTTCGTTTTGACTTATCGTGATTTTGACCATGGTGATTTTGTACACCGACTATCACGGCATAAGAAAAGATTGCATGCAAAATTTCAATCACTTTTAAGTGACAGTCATTGATTACTTTAAACAAAATGGCCAAAAATGTGACATGTGTCGTTTCTCAAATGACCGATTCAAATGTGTTAATTTAAAGTTTCATGTAGTTTCTTTAGTTTTTTTTTCGTTCTAAACATTTTTATAAATAAATAAATAAATTATCATGCAAAGTTTTTTTTATTTTTTCATTCCATTTAAGTTATATTATGGTACGCATGTATCTATTGTACAATTTTTTGGTCGAAATACCATATTTCTACTCTACTTGTACGATCTCTCAAAAAAAATATTTGGCAACACTGGTCTCTCTACAAACGACGTAGACCTGTAGTTATCATCTGAGACGCTAGATGACGCCATCGTTGCTGCGGTCGTTGTGTTTCCAATCTTTATGTCCCCAATCTCTGCTCTAGTCTTCATAGCTAAGCCTTAAGGGCAAGTTCAACTTTGTTTGACAGAGTGGTAAGTCGGTTTATACCTCTGTACTTTATCAGAGGAAGGCTACGCGACTTTAACTGCGACTAGTAGTACAGTTTTCGGCCACCAGGTTTTATAACCTAAAAATCGTTGTTATATTTCAAATTGTTTACATAGTGTCGAGCCAGGTTAAGTATAAACAAATCGGTTCGGTAGTGACCAAAAACCGCCTATGGCGGGACCCGAAAGGGTAGCCACAGACTCCCTCCAAGTCAAGAATTCAGAAGATCCAAATTTCATAGACTCACTATATTCCAGGCGTAATAAGGACAAACTTACACACTCTACAACACCACTAGTTCCACAAAATAAGTCTCCCCACAGCTATAGGAGCCGTAGTCATAGTAGAAACCACCCTTACAGACATGTAAGTACTCCTAATGTCAAGAATGAGTCATATAAATCGAGATCCAGCTCCAGAAAGGACTCAACAAAAATTTCAAGGAAAAAAAGTATGGAGAAAATCCAGATCCCTATAAACCTTGACAATAAGTCGGACCCAGAAAAAGCAGCAGAGGTAACACTATCCTACCCGCTGGACATACACAAAGTGCGCTGCAAGCCTCCAGAAATTCACATTTCGAAAGTATGGAGAAAATTTCAATTCTCGAAAGTAAGGAGAAAATTTCACAGGCCGAAAGTATGGAGAAAATTTCAGCACAAGAAAGTATGGAGAATAGTGATAGTCTCAAGTCCAATGCAGTGTTCAACAAACTTTTTATTCCGGAATCGGACGCGAAACCACGTACGAGCTCGGACGATTCTCCGGATAATGACGGGAACTTTGAAAGTGCGGAGAACTCGCCTTTAAATGACACCATTGTGAATTTTGCGGAATTTAACGAAAACAAAGACGCTTCAAATAACCTCGGTAGCGCGAATAAATCATTCGATAGTCTTATACTAGAAAGTGCCGAAAACGCGGAGAAAACAATACACTAAATGATTCAAAAAAGTATGGGGAAAAATGAAAAAAGTTTGAAGAATTTCGATAAAAGTTCGGAGAACGATGAAAATAACCTACAGACGGATCACGCTCGGGGCATCGGCCAACCTACGTTCGAATCCGCGTACAAAACTCTACCGCTTCCGCAGTCAGTAACCACGCGAGTTTTAAATTTCGGTAGACAGACAAATAGCCACGTCGAGCGAAGACGAAAGGCCAAAGCGCGATAACATTAATTCTAATGATGTGCGACTATTTACCGGTATCAAACCGACCGTATCTACTGGAGCGGTGCCGAAAATTTCCAAAACTACCCCTGAACCTAAACTCAAGAGGAAGAGAATCCAACATATTCCAATTGAGACACAGGAAAACACAAACACAGAGTACATGGACACTAATACAGAGGGGGGAGAATTTATAAAACCCAAAAAATTTTCCACAAACTTTGTCACCATCCTAAAGGACAAAGCGGCCAAGTCAATTCAGATACAAAACAAATTCCAGGCGTTGACTGACACCGACTCCGACTACGAGGACCCTATCACACAAAAATCGCCCTCAACAAGTAGAAACCCGAAAATAAGCAAAAATACGAGAATTAACAAAGGTAAAGCAACAGAAACCCCAAACAGTACAAACAAAAAATCCTCTATGCCCCCAATAGTGGTAGAAGGGAGAACGGACGACCATAATTGCCTAAAAAGAGACCTCCAAAACATAGTAAAGGGCAAGTATACCATTAAATACACCAACAACTCCACCATTATCTATGTTGAGGAACAAAATGATTATAAGAAACTCCTGGATAGCATTAAAGAGTCCAAAATATCGTACTACACGTACACGAGCAGAGCGGAGAAATCCCACGCCTTCGCGTTAAGAGGGCTAACGTCTGGTACCACCCCCGAGCAAATAGAAGAGGACCTAATGTTATCATACGACATAAAAATAAGAGAGATCTACAAAATGTCGACCAAAAATAGACCTCTCTTCCTAATTGTGACAGACCCGGCAATAACTCTCGATTTTTTAAACAAAAACGTGAGGGTAGTGGAACATATAAGAATAGTTTGGGAACTAAGAAAATCCACCAAACTAATTATTCAATGCCATAATTGCCAGGCGTGGGGGCACGCCACTGCCAACTGCGGACGACCCCCAAAGTGCCTGAAATGTGCAGAAAACCATCACACCAGGACCTGTATTAAAACTCGCGACACCCCCGCCACCTGCATTAATTGTTTGGGAGTACACCCAGCCAACTTCTCAAAATGCTCTGCATACCTAGACAGAGTAGCTAGGATGGAAGAATGAAGAAGTAAACAGCAGCCGAGTAGATACGTGCAGGCGCCACTCCCAGAAGGGAATGCCTGGGAGAAGAAACAACCCCCTGCCGCTAACAGGCATGCTCAAGAAGAATTCCCTCCGTTACCGTCCAGGAGACCACAGCAAAACAACCAACAACCCCCGAGAACCCAACCGACCAGGCAGACCGCAAACGCGACGGAGCAGGGAACCATGGACGATATGTTCGCCCTCAATGAATAGCTTGGTAAATATATCAGAACTCACCCGAGCCGTTCGGGACCTCAATAATTCCATCAGACAATGTAGAGACGAACGTGACATCTTCATAATATATAACAATTTTGTAAAAAACCTTAACACATACAACTTTAAAAACTAAATTCAACCTTACATACAAAGACAGACTCAGAATCTGTGTTTCCAATGTGAATGGGCTGTTAAATAAACGCGGTTTAGTAACAAATTTCATTCACAAGCATAAGTTCGATATCATAATACTAACGGAAACACACCTAAAACAAACAGACAAAATTAGAATCAGGGACTATAACATCATTTGAGAGGACAGACATAACATACGACAAAAGGCAGCGGGAGGGGTCGCAATACTAGTCAAAAACACATTAGAATTCGCGAACTTGCTAAAACTAAACATCTCACCTCACATAGAACACGCCATAGTTAAATGCTGTAATTTAATCTTTATAGGAGTGTACAACTCCCCTGCTCAGAAAATCCCAAATGCTGACATGCACACACTGATGTCAAAGGGGAATGAGTTTTTCTGGCTGGGGATTTAAATTGTAAACACCCGGAGTGGGACGCGAACTGCACTCACGCCAACCCCGCAGGAAATTTACTGAGAGATTACGCCGAAGACAACGAGCCTATTATACACTATACGGACGAACCGACATGCACCCCATTTAATGGCAGTACCCCAAGCACACTGGACATTGCAATCACTAAAAATATACCAGACGTTCAAAACATCAGAACGATAAGCACAATGAATTCTGACCACGATCCAGTGTGCTTGGAAATCAGAACGAGACAAACAATCAACAGACAACAAAAACAATACTACGACTACAAGACGACAGACTGGAACAAATACAGACAAAAAATACAACAAACGTTAACAATCAACAACAACATTACAAATCCACAACAACTAGAACAAATAACTCAAGATTTCATTAGTCGTACAAAAAGCTAGAGACGACTCGACAAAAATAAAAACTACCACCCCACACAAAGACAAACTGCCACCTGACATCACTGAACTGATAACAAACAAAAACCAAATACGCAAAAGGTGGCAGACGTACAGGAGAGAAGAAGACAGGGTACGTTTGATGGACATTGCCAAGTATATAAACACGAAAATTAACGAACATCGAAATAATGTCTGGCAAAAGACCCTGTCCGAAATCAATCCTAGAGACAACTCATTGTGGGGGGTTGTGAGAAGGTACAAAAAACCTAACTCGCAACTTCCTACAATGAAACAAGGACAAGACGTACTCACAACGGACAACGAGAAAGCTCAAGCCTTCGGTGAACACTTTCAGGCTAACTTCACGAATAACCAAATAAACAATGCTCGACATGATAGAATCGAAAGATTAGTTAACAACCTTAAGGAAACGGGTCCAGTTCACGTACCCCACTCTTTTTACACCTCTCCTAAAGAGGTGGTGGAGACAATTAAATTCCTTAAAAATAGAAAAGCTCCAGGACCTGATGACATCAGTAACATCCTAATTAAAAACATACCAAAAAAGGGGGTAGTACAGCTCAACTATATAATAAATGCAATTTTTAGGCTGCAACATTACTCAAGCTGCCTGAAAATTGCAAACATAATACCGATATTAAAGTCAGGCAAAAGCCCAAACAAAATCGAAAGTTACCGGCCCATCTCGCTGCTAAACACATTATCAAAAGTAGTAGACAAAATAATTTTAACGAGACTTAAGAATACAGAAGACCAACTACAAATTATCCCTCAGGAACAGTACGGATTCAGAAGCGGACACAGCACCGTAGCACAGATTATTCGTATAGTTCACCATGCCAAAGAGGCCACAAATGTCAACAAGCAAACGGTGCTAGTGGTGCTAGATAGCGAAAAAGCTTTTGATTCCGTCTGGACCTGTGGGTTAATTCACAAAATGCTTGTGAATGATTTTCCGGTTCACATTGTAAAAATAATTCAATCCTACATAACTGACAGACGATTCAACGTTAAAATAAAAAACACTACCACAGGACCTTACACTGCGCAGGCGGGAGTACCTCAGGGCTCAGTACTGACGCCCCACTTGTACTCCATTATGACCCATGACATATCAATGGGTAATAATGGGGTACAAACGGCACTGTACGCCGACGACATCTGCCTCTTCCAAAGCAATCACTAGGCCGAAAGTGCAGTCAGGACGCTGGATATTCATATTAACAGAAGGTTAATCCCCTATCTAAAAAAAATAAAATGAATATCAATGCAAATAAAACTGAAAGTATGCTAATTACAAAAAGGAGATCGAGGGGTGTCAATACACCCTTAAAAGTTGCAAATGACGAGATCGTAACGAGCAACAAAATGAAGTACCTAGGTTTCGTATTAGATGGAGGGTTGACCTTCGACCAACACATAAAGGACAGAGTAGCCAAAAACCATACGGCCATTAAAACCCTCTACCCAATCCTGAATAGGAAAAGTAGAGTAACACAGGCAAACAAGCTACTCATGTATAAAACAATCATAAGACCAATCCTGACATATGGATGTCCAGTGTTTTGTTCTATGGCCAACACTCACTTCAGCAAATTACAGGTAGCACAAAACAGATGTCTGAGGCTAGCTCTGGGATACGACCGCTATGCCAGAATTCTCGACATGCACAGACAGACATACCCTTAATTAAAGACTATATTCTCGATACAGCCGAAAATTTCTATAAGCGATGCCTTCCCGATAGTGTGAGGGACGATATCCTAAGCATATATCGGGGCGACAACGTGCGTAGGAAACACGGCTGTATCAACGCTAAACTAGACATTTACAGGAACAGAAATAGACAATAACATCCTCCCTAACTGCCCCAAACAATACTAAACAACATTTCACACCGACTAGATATTCGCGCAATTCAGTCGGACGGAGGATTGATCAGTGGACCGGCCAACGGTGAAGCGGATAGTTTACCCTTTGGACTCACCAAAGGCAGTTCGTCGTCGTTTTGAGCTCTTACTAGTTCTGAATTGTGACACCAAATAAAACCAATATATTTTTCATTCACATATCGTTCGAGTTTGCCAGGAAGTATTAACAATTAACCCCATATAAGGAGCTACAGCTCTATGGTAGAGCCCTCCGGGGCAGACCCCCTCAAAAGCATCAAGGAATACCCCACAGTATACTCTCAACGTCAGAAAATTAGATGGAAACACACAGAAGCGCTTAGAGGTATATCAAAAATACAAACACCAGAGTCTCTGAAAGCCAAATCGAAAAGGAAAGGATCATTAACAGTGAGTAGGAACACTTTATTGGGCCTAACATCTACAAATACTAATCCAGGGATCAGCAGCCCATTACAGGGGAACCCCATTACAGGGGGAACCCCTGCTCAAAAATTCTCCGATACGACCTCTAAATGACCCTCAAAGACTTCTAGAGGAAGTATACGGGGACCTGAACGAGTCTTCAAGCTCTGAAGACAGTATGGACACCACTGTAATCAGTACAACAGTATGGACACCACTGTAATCAGTACAGAGCAAGCTTCCTCAGACACCAAAACTCCCAGTGGTATAAGCACCCCCTCAAACATCCCTTACGACCCCATTGGTCACCCTAACACTCCCCAAAACTCATGCACAAAGGGAAACCTGAAGAATAAACCAGAGAGTATTGAGAATACACTTAATCCCCAAGACAGCGCACCAGATAGCGCCGATACAACCCACAAAGATACAGCAAACTTAGGAAACAATACCCCTAACTACAGCCGCAGCGCCAGTGATAAATCCGAAGAATTTATTAATGCGGATTATAGCACTCCTACAGGCGAGAACATCGCCCAGACTGATTCACCTCAACCTAATCCTCTGGGGATTTCCACTCCCAACCCCTCTTCTGAAAACAACCCCTGTCCCCCACCATTAGTGAACTCAGATCAGGAACAGAATTTCCAATCTGAGTATGTATCTCAATCTAATCATCCGACGAAAATCTTAATAAAAAGGGTTGAAATGCCCAAAGGGGTTGTAGCTAGAAACCTAAATTTTGGTACGCGTGTCGATTTGCACCATATCACACCTCTCCAAACTAATCTCGGGGCAATCCCGAAAAAATTTACTCCAACTTTTCAGACCAAAAGTGTGGAGAATTTAAGCATCAATAGAGTAATGACTAACCGAAGGAAGGGTGGATCGAGTAGCTCCGATCTCGGTAAGTCGGCACTCCCAAACACGATGCAAACAACATCAGGCACGAATAAGTCCTCAACAAAACACATAATTAACATACTAGATAACAGTGAGATCAAAATTCATGTTAATACATCAGACATTCCCCACTCTCTTCAAGATTCTATTCATCAATTCAACAGCGGACAGTACCTCGGATGAGGGCACGCGCGCTCACTCTCTAGAATACCACAGACAAGTGAGAACTCCCACATCCCCAAACACCACATTCCCGCTAAACTACACCGACAAACAGCTAGAAATAGGCTCCAGCGAGAAAAATTCCCAACCGCCTGTACTTCCCTTCGAGACTCCCAGAAAGTTCAGCTCGAATTTCAAAAAACATATACGTGAAAAATCTAAACAAACCCTCACAGTGACTAAAAACCAATACGCAGTTCTTACAGATGACTCAGAATCAGACGTAGAGGACGAAATTGATCGTATTGTCAAAAGGAGACGTGAAAACTCCCCAAAAGAACCCAAGCAACGTCCCAAAAGTACGAGCGAAGTAATCCCTTCCCCCAAAGCTACTAACACCACTAGTAACACAAACAGCTAAAACTCCAAGCAAGAAACAAGGGTCTATGCCCCCTATAGTGGTCGACGAAAAAACCGTCAACCAGTCAGTCCTCATTCAGGACATTAAGGCTAAAATCAAAGGTGGCTTCAGCGTCAAACATACGAACAATTCCACCATCCTGTTCGTGGATGACAAAGAAGACCACCAAAAAGTCCTACAAAGCGTAAGGGATGAGAACATTGCTCATCATACGTACACAAATAGCGAAGACAAATCGCACGCTTTTGTTCTGCGAGGGCTCGCAGACGGATCAAAACCTCAAGACATTGAAGAAGACATCGAGACACAATACGAAATCAAAGTTAGAAACATATTCAGAATGAATACGAAAAATCGACCCCTATTCCTAGTCGTCACCGACCCCTCCTTGACACTGGATTATCTGAATAAGAATGTACGTAGAGTGCTGTACACAAGAGTTATTTGGGAGCTCAGAAAGTCAATCAAGCAGATAATCCAGTATCATAACTGTCAGCTCTGGGGACACACTACAACAAATTGCGGAAGACCTCCTCGCTGCCTCAAATGCGCAGGAGACCACTCCACAAAATTTTGCACAAAAAGCAGAGAAACGGCGCAAATTGCGGGGGAGAACACCCCGCTAATTACAGCAAATGCAAATTCTACATCGAAAGACTAGAAGAACGCAGAAGCAAGCAGAGCACCAGCACCCAAATATATACCTGCACCGGCCCCCACTGCAAATGTTTGGGACCGTCAGCGATCAAGATTGACTAGAGAAGAGTTCCCATCTCTTCCAACCCGTAACACGAATGTTACTGTGAAAGAAAGTCAACCACAGCCTACTGAAGAGAGAACTAACCCCCAACCTATGCAACGCCCATCCCAGATGACTGACATCCTAACCTTAAATGCAGAATTTCAGCAACTCAACAAAATGGTAAATATTGGCGAGTTAATCCGTGCCGTTAGACTTTTAAATAATCGACTCCGAGACTGTAACACAAACGCGGAATTCTTCACCACCTATTACGAATTTGTAGCCGACTTAGACAACTACAACTTTAAGAACTGAACTATACGGCGGCAATTACGACACGCTAAGAATATGTTTTTACAATGCGAACGGGATGCTTAATAAGACACCCCTGGTAAGCAGTTTCATTCATAAACATAAATTTGACATCATACTAATTTCAGAGACAAACTTCAAACCCGCCCACAAATTCAAAATCAGAGACTACAACGTGATTCGACAAGACAGACTAGACAGACCCACCCAGAGAGGTGGGGGGATAGCACTAATAATCAAAAACTCACTGAAATTCGAGCAGATACCCAGTATCGATGCATCTTTTGAGCATATCATTGCTAAAATAAATAACATATTTTTTGTAGGAGTCTATAACCACCCTGCCAACAACCTTACATCCCTTGAGCTTCACTCAGTCACCTCAATAGGGAACAGAGTTATGGTTTTTGGCGATCTCAATGCAAAACACCCGTATTGGGACGCCAATTGCAAGAAACCCAATACGTCAGGGAGAACCCTGGATAGATTCGCCGAAGCAAATGACTACATTATACGGACGAACCGACTTTTTACCCATACTCAGCACTGACTCCGAGCACACTAGACATAGCATTAACCAAAAACTTACCACACATACATAACATCAGGACAATCACGACACTCACTTCCGACCATGACCCCGTCTACCTTGAAATTAAAACCAATAAAATTATTACTAGATAGCAAGGCACATATTATGACTACAAAAACGCCAACTGGAGACGGTACAGACAAATACTTGACAATTCTATTACCATTAACAATAACATCACCGACACTCAAATACTAGAAACAGAAACACGTAATTTAAGAACAGCGATTATAGCAGCTATAGACGCCTCAATTCCCACCAAAACTCACAGCCAATACCACGACGAACTACCACAAGACATACTCGACCTAATCAATAACAAAAATTACTTACGTAAACGCTGGCAACAGCACAGACAAGCCGCCGACAGGGTTCGACTCGTCGACATCGGGAAACATATTAACAAACTCATTGTAGAACATCGTAACCTAAAATGGAGAAGAACCCTGGAAGCGGTAAACCCCCACGACAACTCAATGTGGAGAACTGCGAGGAGATTCACAAAACCTCACTCGCAGCTTCCCACATTGAAATACAAGGACAAAGTGTGCTCCACCGACGAACAAAAAGGCGAAGCCTTCGGTGAACTATTTCAGGAAATATTTCAAAATAATATCCCCAGCAACCCCGACCAACAAACAATCGAAAACTTGGTGGTTGACATTCAAAATATGGAGCGGGATACTGTACCTCATAGCTGCCTAACCACACCCCAAGAAATTAGGGATGTGGTCAGGAAACTACAAGATAAAAAAGCCCCAGGGCCAGGCGGCATTAATAACAACTTAATCAAGAACTTCTCTAAAAAAGCCTATGTACACACGCATCACATCATAAACGCTATACTAAAGCTCCAGTATTATCCTCAAGAATTCAAAACTGCTAATATGATACCAATCTTAAAACGAGGTAAACCATATAAAGACGCGCAAAGCTATCGTCCCATCTCTCTGCTAAACGGCTTAGTCAAACTTACAGATCGCATAATACTTAAACGCATACATACTTACGAAACTGACCATCCTATTATACCGTCAGAACAATTCGGGTTTAGGGCAGGCCACGGCACAGTAGCTCAAGTCATCAGAATTGCACAGCATGTCAAAAAAGCGTACAACAACAAACAACAGACAGTTCTGGTGGCTTTAGATGCAGCCAAGGCCTTTGACTCGGTTTGGTCTGACGGTTTAATCCACAAAATGTTTATGAATGACTACCCCGTATTCATTGTAAAAATAATTCAAAGCTACTTACTCAACAGAAACTATCACATCAAAATCAATGACTCACGTACAGGACCATTCACAGCAAAAGCGGGGGTACCCCAAGGTTCGGTACTCTCGCCTTACCTGTACTCCATAATGACCCATGACATACCAATGGGTCAAAATGGCATACAGACGGCATTGTACGCCGATGACACTTGTGTATTCAAATCATCGGTATCGGCAGAGATCGCCATGCGTAGACTGGAGATTCACACAAACAGAATGTTAGTCCCCTACCTAGATCATAACAAAATTTCAATTAACCCGAACAAAACCGAATCAGTATTGTTAACTAAAATGAATTCAAACAAGATTTTCACCCCTCTCAAAGTTCAAAACAATATTATTCCCACTTCAAATCACCTCAAATATCTGGGTATTATACTAGATAGGGGGCTAACGTTTAAAAGACATATTGACGACAGAGTGAACAAAGCTACGGCTATGATACGCACACTTTACCCCATGCTACATAGACGTAGTGGAGTTACCAGACAAAACAAATTATTACTATACAGACTAATCATACGACCAATACTGACATACGGATCTCCAGTTTTTTGTTCGGCCTCGCACACAAATTTGCATCGACTTCAAATAACACAAAACAAGTGTCTTCGGCTGGCGTTGGGGTATGACCGCTACGCTAGAATCACAGACATGCACAACGAAGCATCCATGCCTACGATTGCAGAATTCATTACAAAAACGGATAACAGATTTTACAACAATAGTCTACCTAATCAAATCAAGGAAGAAATACTATCTTTCAATGTTACTAATGCCGGCGACAGAAGGCATGGATGGTTACATGAAAACCTTGACATCTACACACAAAACCATTAACGAAGACAAACTCAGCAGCACCCTCCGTCCTGCGATGAGTTACTAACAGCTATTTTACAAAGGACTAGTTATCTACAAATCTAGTCCGACGGAAGACTGCACGATGACGTCACTCGCCGGTGCGGTGATCGGGGCCTTCCTGAACACCGCCCTGACGACTGATCTCACCGTGTAGGTTCGTAAAATAGCAACAACCCCACACAGACTATCACAATGACACACATACACACAAGGACAACCCTGGTTTTTCGCAGTTTTTCCCAGGGAACTCTCTACAAAATTAAATTCACACAAAAACACACATTCACCTCAATTGCCGACCTCAAACTCGCCAATAATTACCATATTATATCCCTCGGATAAGGAGATGGTATTTTCAATCATAAACTATAAATTGGGAAAGGTATTTCGGGTTAGGACGCCAGACGCGTCCAATATTACCAACATGGATGGATTATTCGGCTCGCAGGATGCGAGCACGACTCATATCTGACATGTGATTACTATACCAATAAATTGTACATATTTTAAAACTGAATAAAGAGATTTAGAAAGCAAAGCAAAGCAAGCGGACGCGAAACTCACAATTTCACGACTGTTACGCGGTTGGAGGGCACATCAATCAATCGGCCTGTGAAATGTACATACAAACCAAAGACTATACCAACACACACACACAAGGACAACCCTGTTTTTTCTAGCTTTTTTAGGGGACAAAAAGACAACTAAAACACGACATATCCTATCACCATTTCCCATTACCGATTTCCAAATAAAACCACAATCCCTTAATAATACCGAACAGGTAAGGAGTGAGGGCTAATATATTTCTCAAACATTTAGTCGAGCGAATTATTGTGGGCGGATTTATCCACCCTGGTTTTTGTCCTGCACGAAAAGTCTATAAGGACTCGGTAGTGTGAATATAATAATTTTGACTTGACATGTAGATACTATTATTAAATTGTAAATAAAGATTTCTAAAGTAAAAAGTAAGTTTGACAAATAATCACGATTTTTTTTTTAGGTTAGAAAATTGCATTATCGATTTTTTCATTCGAAGTAATACAAGACGTCACTTTAAATTTCTATCTCTTTATGTCAACACGATGAATTTATAAAACGTATGTCACTAATGTCACTGACGGCAACACTGTCAGCTACTCCATGGCTACTAGAGTACATACATGTCCGGTATAAGCCATATATAAATGGAAAATAATGATTCAATGTTTTGATTGAGTTAAATAAAATATCAAAATTAAATGTTTATTTTCAAGTAAACGACATTTTTAAATGTATACGTCTTCAATCAAAAATAATATAGGCTAATACTCAAGTATATAAAAGTGTAGGTACTGGACGAGATAATTTTACACTTTACTCCAGTTTTTTGTAATGAAACCAGCGGTAAAATAGATATTTGTGTACCACCAAGGCTGTGTTTTGGCCGAATTAAACATTTGCGTCAGAATCTAAGCGAGTTCTGGTTAAATATAAGAGAAATGGGCAAGAAACGGATGTCAAATCAAGATTGCCATCGATATAGATGTCAGATAAGC